AACAAAGTATATACATTTTATACAAGTCTCAAGAGATGAAATGCACATGTCATGCTATGCAACAATACATTAATCCAACAACAAGTAAATAAACAAATAAATACCCCCAAAGGTTTACAAGTTTCTAAGGTTTGAACCTGGTTACACAAAACGGTTATTCCAATCCACACAAACACAGCCCTTGGCTTACACACAGAATCACAACAAAATCAGAACATTGTATTCCTAACACACATACTTCCACGCTCCTAATTGGGTGGGATCACCACATCTTTTCCTGCACAAAAATCCCATAAGGTGAGTATAAAGCCCAATAGGAAATTCTTAACAAAGTGTATACATTTTATACAAGTCTCAAGAGATGAAATGCATATGTCATGCTATATCCTTTTTAAAGATAGATCACATTTTTATCTTTTGAAAACCATCATACTCAATGATATCATGCCATTTCAATTGTTCAAAACTAAACAATTTATTTTAAGGGCGGTAAATACGACTCTGGTAATCCCTAAGTCGGTGTCTGCAAGTAGACTATACAAGTACTACAAAATTGTCATTTTTACTGGTATTAATCGTAAGGCTCGACACCTATCCGCGCGGGTTTTCGGTCTTTCACCCCGGACTCTCAGACCAACTTATTCAATATCATCTACACCACCTATCAAAACTTACCAACGTATTTATCCCAAAACCATTCTATGAAAACTTGTTTCTCAACATTTTTTCTCAATGCAAGTTTTCAAATCAACTTTCAAAGTTTAATATATCAAATGAATTGATATGCCAATTTTACAAGATGAATATAAATATTTTTATTCCAATTCATCATTCAAGAAATAACACAATTCCCTCTTCTCAAGTATCCTCAACAATTAGTTATTTCAAGACTATTTTAATGTTTTGAACAATAATTTCCAAAATGAACAACAATTCTCATATTCCCTGAAATTCATCATTTATATAAATATAAATAAGAAATTTTCCAAATATTCATTTATTTTGACACACAAAATAAATATAACAATATCATTCATGGATTTTCAGTCTCCTTTAAAAAAATCCCCAAATTCTAAGTTTTCTCACCAAAACTATACAACTCAAATCTTTTGAAAGAAAACTTTCCAAAATCATCTTTTCTTCAATCAACGAAGATCAAAACTCATAAGATCATTTTAAAATGACAAGAGACAAATCCATTTTCAAAATCGCTCAACTTCTTGAATCAACAATCAATTTTCAAAGTTATCGAAAGATAATTTCGAAAATCATATAGATCTTGCAAAAACATATATATAACTCTAAGAAAATCCCTACCTCAAGCTTTGAAGAAGAAATGAGATGAAACCCCCAAAATTAACGATGTCGAAACTCGATATTCACCAGACACAACGAAGTCCTCGAGAAGTTAACCAACTTTGATGAAAAACTTATGGTAGAACTCTAATGGATCCTGAAAAATCAAAGTTTTGATCTAATTTGACGTAGGGAAATGTAGAGAGAAGGAAGAGGAAATGGGTTTTTTGAGAGAGAGATATACAAAAGTGATCTAAAATATCAAATTCACAAACTGATATAACATGGTTCGCTCGAGCGTGGAAAGTCCCGTTTGAGTGTCAAATATACTTTCCCAGTATTTTTGCAGACAGATCAAACTTCTAAAACCAAACATTCTCCGCTCGAGCGGACAAGCAACTTCTAATGCATTTTACATTTTTTCTTTGAGGGCGCTGCCTCTCAACCCCGCCAGAGCGCTGCCCTAGGACCCACCAAGGGGCTGCCCCCTAGACCCCTACGAGCTGACCGGGCAGCTCTATCCCCGCCAGGGCGTTGCCCTTGGATCCGCCAAAGGGCGCTGCCCTCTCGACCCCACGAGCTGACTGGGCAGCTCGATTCTCGACATACTCAGCGAAGTGGCAAAACTGAGATCGCTACAATCATGAACCTCTCCTACTACACAAAATTGGAAGGGGATATTTTATTAATTTTTCCTTAAATTTATTACTACCAAATGCTTTTAATAATTAACTGTTCATTTTTTTAAAATAAGATCCAAAGTTATAACTACAACATATATCATAATTCAGACTAACTACATCTTAGAAAAAAAATTTCATGCATAAATATACTTAATATATTCATATAATAGTTTAAACATAAATATAAAAAAATTTACCCAAGTTTAAAAATCAAAATAAATACTCAACATTTTAATATTTATGATTTTTATTATAAAAAGTATTAATCGATATGTATTTATCAATTTAATAAGTAAAGTAAGTGGTTCATGGGTTGTGTATCAACCAAGACAATTATTTAATGGTTAGGTTAGTTTTAGGTCTTTTAAATGTCTACCCCAACTTAGAAAACAACCATTTATCCATTTTATTATGAGAGTTATGACATGTGACGCATTATAATTTTAAATTGAGTAGGTAAATTTTTAAACTTTACAAAAATAGATAAACGATAATTAAGACGTTGACAAATGTAATTTACCATATCAGCCTCCGTTTGGCAAGAAAAAGCCCAGGTTTTTTTGGCTAAAATAGCCACAAAAAACAAAATAGGCTATTTTAGCCACAAAAAACAAAACACACACATATATATATATATATATATAATTAAGATGAGAGTATTTTTTAATGTGATAAAAAAAAAATTCAAAATTGTCTCTCTCCTTAAATTGAAGAAAACTTCAATTTGTAATAATGCATTTTTGAAAAGTGTGTTTAGTTTTCTGAATAACTGAACAAGTATTTTAAAATTTTCAAAAAATTGAGTTTGAAAAGCAACAACCAAACAAAATGATTATTTTTTATTGTAAATAATTTTTTTGTAATTTATCATTTCTCTTAAAAAGTTTTTGTCAATTAAATTATGATATGTATTTTTTATTTCTAAGAAGTTAAAATACAAAACTAAATGTAAGAAAATAATTTTTGAAAAAATAACACATAATTGATTTTAAAATATTATTTATATATATTTTAAACAAATTTTCTGTTTTTATTTAATTTTTAAACCGTATATAACGGGGTATTATACTAGTAATAAAAAAAATAAAGAAATTATTTAAGAAGTTGATTATTTTAGATAATTTTTTTGACTATTTTAATTTAACTAAAAAATTATGTTTAGAAAATTGATTAGTTATTTTTTGTATGAGCAATGCTATAGACCACTAATTTACCATCACTAATACCACCACTAGTGAGGTGGCAATTGAAAAAAAAAAAAAAAAAACAAGGCAAAAACACATGTGGCAGTGGATGGGACACACTGCCACATCATTAGAGCCACCACTAATTAGTGGTCTAAAACATTTTTGTTTTTGTATTTGACCGGATAATTGTAAGAGAAAAAAATAGAAGGATTGAGTTACATTAACAGTCTTTATAGTTTGGGATTAAGTGTCACTTTTGTTCTTAACTTTTTAATTGTGATGTATTTGACCTTGAATTTTAAATTTTGCTCCAAATAAGGATAATTGAAGATATTATTGCTCAATTTCAAGAGCAAAGTAGTCACTTTGATAAAATATAAACTAATTTGATAAAAATAAATGTTAAAAAAATATTTTTGAATTTTTAAAATTATTTCTACTAACCAAAGATAAAATTATATAAAATTGATAAATCTTTTACACATTTATTTATTTATTTACCAAATTAATTTTTTATTGTGTGTTTGGATGATAATCATAGAATGGGTGGTTGTTTTTATTTTCATTAAATCAGTTTCTATTTTTTCAAAAGTCAAATATGATAATAACTTTGATATAATTATTAAACCAATCCATTAAATTAAAAAATCAAAACTAAAAACATTTCATATATTAAATATATCGATTACACATTAAAAATCTAACAACCACTCATTACATGATCATTATCCAAACACATAATAAAAATTAATTTGGTTAAATAAATAAATATGTAAAAAAATTATCAATTTTACATAATTTTATCTTTAGTGAGTAGAAATAATTTTTAAAAATTCAAAAATATTTTTTTGACATTTATTTTTGTCAAATTAAGTTATATTTATCAAATTGACGGCTTTGCCTTGAAATTAAGTAATGGTATTTTGAATTGTCTTTATTTGGAATAAGATTCAAAATTTAGGATCAAATATGTTACAATTGAAAAATCATGAATCAAAGTAATACGAGACCCAAACTGTAGAGACTGTTAATATAATTTACCTAAAATAAAATAATTATAAATTAAATATAATATTTCAATAGTGATTGATAGCTCTGAAAGGAAAACTCTAAATAGAACTTTATTGAGCTGGAAAGTCTAAAAAAATTAAAAAAAAATCAAACCAAAATATCATATCATAAGTGAATTCCAACACATTAAAACTTTCTTATTAACATTTCAAAATATTTTTAATAAGGGTCATGCTTGGTAGCTCGAAAGAGCTACCCCCGAATCCCCCGAATTTGTAGAAAACAGAAGAAGGAGAAGGAAGGAGGAGGAGAAGGGGGAAGAAGAAGAAGAGAAGGAAGGAGGAGGAGGAGGAAGCCGAAGGACTGAAGGGGGCCAAATAAATCGGGGTGTGGAGGCCGAGGCGGGGGGCGGAGAAGGAGGCAGAGGCAGAGGCAGAGACAGAGGCAGAGGCAGTGGCTGCGACGGCGAGGAGCTGCGACGGCAGGCGAGGAGCTGCGATGGCGGGCGACAAGCTCTTCCCTGCGACGAGCTCTTCTCTCCCTCTCCCTCTCCCTCTCCCTCTCCCTTTCCCTCTTTCTCTTTCTCTTTCTCAGAGCTGCGTGAAGAAGAAGAAGAAAAAAAATAATAATGCTCAAAACGATATCGTTTTGGACATTAGGGGATTAGGGGGCATTTTTCGAATTCTCAAACATTATCCTTTCAATAATATTTTATCTTATTAATTATTTTAACTTATTTGTTTTTTTTTAATAAATTATTTTAATCCAATCCCTAGCCAGACAAGGTCAAAGTAATGCTGTAGGCACCGGAGGGGAACAGGAGACATATAAAGAGACAAACTGGCGCTCTTCTCTCCTGTATATGTTGCTGCGTCCTTCTTTCCTTGCACGGCGAGTGGGAGAGAGAGAGAGAGAGAGAGAGAGAGAGAGATGTGTACGTTAGAGAAGCGAGGCAGCCTCTTCATCTTGACACTGACAGGCGATGACCAGCATCGCCTAAACCCAGCCCTAATTGACTCCATCAAAGCCGCTCTCGATCGAGTCCGATCAGATTCTTCTTCCAACAACTCCACATCCCCTTGCTCCGCTCTCATCACCACCGCCCACGGCAAGTTCTTCACCAACGGCTACGATCTCGCTTGGGCCAAATCCGGCGGTCCCGCCTCCGCCACCAAGGACCGCCTCCTACTCATGTCCTTCAAGTTCCGTTCCCTCATCACCGACCTCATTTCTCTTCCCATGCCCACCATCGCAGCCGTCACAGGTCACGCCTCCGCCGCCGGCTTCCTCCTCGCTCTCTGCCACGACTACATTCTCATGAGGAAGGACCGAGGCTTTCTGTACATGAGCGAGCTCGATATCGCCCTTCCCATTCCGGCTTGGTTCACCGCTGTGCTCCGGAGCAAGATCGGCTCCCCCATGGCTCTGCGCGACGTGCTGCTGAGATCGGCGAAGTTGACGGCTCAGGCGGCTGTTGAGAGGGGGATCATCGAGTCGGCGCACGATGGCGCGGAGGAGACGGTTGGGGCTGCTGTGAAGTTGGGGGAGGAGCTGGTGGGCAGGAGATGGGATGGACACGTGTACGGCCAGATAAGAATGGTTGTGTTTGATGATTTGCTGAGGGCCGCCGGATTTGACGAATCCGTGGAAGATCCGAATCACGTGAATAAGGTTATCTCAAGACTTTAATAAGCCTAATTGGGCCTTTCACTTGTCTGGACCCTGATCCTTAACTACTGGTCCTTGGTTGGACTTGTTGATGGCGCTTTGGGCTCTGTGTTCGTAGAGTTTGGTTCCGTGCTTAAAAAATAAATGTAAAATGTGGAGTTGTTGTGTAGTTGTGGGGTGAAATTGAACTGTTGTTAGGCCCTGCATGTTTTTTTTTTATTATTTTGGGTTAAAAAATAAAAACCCCTTTAGGGGAAATGCTAATTATTATCACCCAAATGTGGAAAATTGTATTAAAATATATATAAATATAAAATATCTTTGGGGCACTTTTTTTTCTTTTTTCTTTTTTTTATAAATCTCTCTATATTTATTTATGTTTTATTTAATTTAATTTAATTTAATTTTATGTTTCAATAAGTTTTATAAATGATATAGTGACTAATATATCTCTAATAATAATATTTATTCCATAATGTGAATATTCACACGTCAATATGAATTGTCACATTATAAAATATGAATGTTCACATCACTAAGTTATTAACCGTTTAAAAAATGTTTGTAAAGATAAAACTATTCATAAAATACCGTAAATATGATAATTAGGATTTTATTAGCTCGAAATCCAAATAATAAAACTTATTAAAATACAAAAATTATGTTACTTAAAAAAAATTCTTAATAAATCTCCAAGTATTTATTGGAAGTTTTAACTTTTTTATCAGAGGAAAAAGGTAATTAATCCAAGAGTAAATGATATTTTTTACCTTCAAACTTTAATTCGAATTTGGCTTTCCTTTGAATCAATTAGTTTCAATATCATCATCCCCTCGTTACATTAGACCATCAACTTCTTGAATCAACATAGTACCAAAAATATCATTTTAATTTTGGAATATTAATTTGTATTTATTTTGAAATACTGACTCGAAATTGAATCCAAATACACAGACAAAAGCAGAAGGGGCAGTATAATTTTGCCAACGAAGACATATATATATATGAAACCACACAGTGGCTCTTCCTTATAATAAGAACTTAGGCCTCCTTTGATAACCTTCTGTTTTAGTTAAAAAAAAAAAAATTTAAAAAGTCAATATAAATTATCGCATCACTCTTTTTATTTTTTTACATATTAAAAAAAATATTAAAAAATTATTAAAATATCTTGTTTCCAAACAAGACCTTAATAAGCATGTCTTCTTCACTTCTCTTTTCTGTTTTTAGAAACTCACACCAAGCAAGGAACAAGGCATGCAAGTAACACTTATGCGAAACAAATCAAGGTTTGCAATGCAACTTAACAAGACAAGATCATGTAAATACATGCAAGCATGACTAGAGTAAAGTGAGGGTTGCTACATCTTAAGTCCTGACTTGAGCATCAAAGGAGTTTTCCGACACATACCCGCCAGTAAACTCATTGGAGTTGTTTTGCAGGATAAACGACATAGAGGCTTCAGCTTGATTAAAAGGAGTACGCGTGTGACAAATTTTTCGTGCTTGTACAGGCCCAAACCGATCCGCCAAAGAATGGGGATTTCGACAGTTCGAGTAGACGGATACAGATGTATTTTTCTCAATCAATCTAAGTTCAAATCGATGATGGATGGAAAGTCACCCAACCAAACCTAATCCACAAACACCACTGTTTGGTAGAGATGCGATAATACTCAAGAAAATAAATGGCAATACATCGACAATTGTGTCTTTTTATTTATTCTAAAACATGACAATTTGTAGTTAATATTTTCTATTGAATTTGAATTGAGAACCTATCTTATACTTAACATTTTCTATTTTATTTATAGTCTTTGTGTGTGATTGAGTGTAAACATTTTGAAAGTACTTCTCTTAGTTCGAGTAGAAAAAGGACAAGCAATTCTTGATTAATTTAATCAAATAATGCTTTATCATCATCAACCAAGCAATTGCGTGCCAGCCTAACTTCCTAAGACTTGGCAAGTCGTGCATAAAATTCAGCAATAAAGAATTTGTTTTGGAATGTAGACATTTTTAATTTGATTTGTTATGCTTTTGTGTCCAGAATTAATTGACGCATGTAATTTGTGATAACTGTCCATATTTTAAATTTATCTATTTGACCTCCCCATGTACAATTTTTTTTTTTTTCACCCTACCGTAAGGGGCCGTTGACAACAAAATTATAAAAAAGTATTTAAACACAAGTCTTAATTAATGAACTTATACTCCATTAAATGTTAACTATGATTTTTTAGACATTTAAGTCCCATTAAATTTTTAATAGTCAGAATTATCTTTCAAATAATGATTGTTTATCATCTATGATTATTTATGAAAGAACATGATGGTTTGACATTAATTTTGATTTTCAAAACTTTAAGTTCAAATTAAGATTTTTTAGACCTTCAAGTCTCATTAAATTTTAATAGTTAGAATTGCCCTTCAAGTAATGATTGTTCATCATTTATGATTATTTATAAAGGAACATAATGATTTGACATTTATTTTAATTTTCAAAACTTTAAAATATAAACTTTTAAATTGAAATTATTCATTAAATAAAAAAATCATTACATACAAGCTAACTAACACAAAGTAAGTTATATGATGGCTTTATTCTTGAAATGAACCGTTTGCAAAGGAAACATCTTTGATTGTCTTTGTTTAGAACAAGATTTAAAATTTAAGATCAAATGTGTCACAATTAAAAAATCAAGTGTTAAAGTGACATAAATTTCAAATTATAAGGGACTATTGATATAATTCGCCCTACAACATAGTACCAAAAATATCATTTTAATTTTGGAATATTAATTTGTATTTATTTTGAAATACTGACTCGAAATTGAATCCAAATACACAGACAAAAGCAGAAGGGGCAGTATAATTTTGCCAACGAAGACATATATATATATGAAACCACACAGTGGCTCTTCCTTATAATAAGAACTTAGGCCTCCTTTGATAACCTTCTGTTTTAGTTAAAAAAAAAAAAATTTAAAAAGTCAATATAAATTATCGCATCACTCTTTTTATTTTTTTACATATTAAAAAAAATATTAAAAAATTATTAAAATATCTTGTTTCCAAACAAGTAACACTTATGCGAAACAAATCAAGGTTTGCAATGCAACTTAACAAGACAAGATCATGTAAATACATGCAAGCATGACTAGAGTAAAGTGAGGGTTGCTACAGGAATGAAGATAAGGATGTGTGTGTGTGTGTGTGAGAGAGAGAGAGAGAGAGAGAGAGAGTAGTGTGGAGGAGAATGGATTTTGTGAAATCAGTGAATAGAGAAATGAGGGTAGATGAGTGAATAGGAAAGTATATATATACGGGGATAAGTTCGGGGATAAACCGGGCCGGGGAACGGGGCCGGGGCCGGGCCGAGTATGGGGCTGGGACACTAATCCCCGTCCCCGGCCTGAATCTTTTCGGGAATTGACTTTTGAATACCATCCCCGTCCTGTCGGGGATATTTTTCAGGGAAAACCCACTCAATTCGGGATCGGGGGATCGGGTCCCTGTCGGGCCGGGTTTAAATTGCCATCCCTAAATCCAAACGCTATCTCAAGTTGAGATGACAATTTGAGAGAAATCAAACTCTTAATTATTATAGTTAAGATAAAAATAATTTTTTTTTTAAAAAAAATATCTTAATAAAAGAGTTAGAATAATTTATATAAAATCAAACTTGCATTGGTCTTAAATACTAAAAATAAAAAGTGCTCGAACATAATATTTCAAAAAATTCCATCTTTATTCAGTTACCAATAGTCGGAAAAACTTCAAAATTTCATTGAAAAATTGACACATGAATCTGTTTGTATCGAAATAATAGCCAACCTGATATAATAGCCAACCTGATGGCGCTATGTCTCCATTTGGTGACATAAAGTGTACTAAAATATTGACACATGAATTTGTTTGTATCCAAAATAATAGCCAGCCTGATGGCGCTATGTCTCCATTTGGTGACATAAAGTTTGTGATTTTAGCAAGGTAAAATGGTGGTAGATTTTGGGCGGTGGTTGGCAATCATGGCTTTGATTTAGGGATTGTTTGGAATGATCTAAATAAGTGCATTTTTTTTCATTTTACGAAAAAATATGTAAAAAAATAGAGAGATGATGTGATGAAAAAAAGATAAAAAGATGGATTATATAAGGGATGCCAAACCACCCCTTAATCTTGTTAAATCCCTATAAAGTAGGGACCATGTAGGCCTCATTTCTCTTTATTGATAAATATATATATTAATTATTATATACATTTTTTTTTTTGAGATAAATGTATTATATATGCCACATGGCAGTGATCAAATGGAGAAGTGAACCACTATCTACATCAGCCAATGGCCACAATTCAAACTTCTCTAACAGTACTAATGATTAGGGTTGGGCGCAGGGTTATTCGACCCGCCCAAACCGTCCTATCCGATCCGAACCACGTATGTATAGACAGTTTCGCAAACACATTAGGATAAGGTGCGGTTTGGATTTTATCTAATTTTCGGGTTGCGGGCGGGTTGCGGGTTTGACCTGCACCCGCCCGCATAAAACTCTTTTTTATTTATTTATTTATTTATTTTTAAATCTGACCGTTCAAAATATAAAGACCCTTTTTTTTCCCTTCAAATCTGACTGTTCAAAAAACAAAAACCCTAATCAAACTCACTCACTCTATCTCAATCTATCTCTCACTTTCACTCTCGCGATTTTCATCTGCATTGCATACACCCACTGATCGACTCTCTCTCTCTTGTCGCAAGATTGACTGATCGACCGATCGACCTCATCGCACACCTCACAGGTAAAGCCCCTCTCTGAATCTCAATCTCTTACTATGTCTCTCTCTCCCCGATCTTTGGTTTTTTTGTCCAACATATCAGATCTCTCTGTCTCTGATCTGTCTCCCTTACTCTCTCATCTCACAGTTTCTCACTCTCTGGTTTTGCATCTACACCGATCGACTCTCTCTCATTGCAAAATCGACCGATCGACTGACTATCTCATCGTACCGATCGACCTCGCAGGTAAGCCTCTCTCTCTCTCTTTCTCTCGTCCCGATCTTTGATTTATTTTGCAACATATCAGATCTATTTTTTTTTTTTTTTTTGTAGCAACAGATCTGGCTGTGTTTGTTTGGAATGTATGTGTTTTTTTTTATTTAATTTTTGATTTAATGTATGTGTTAATTTTGGGAATTAAATCTATTGAATTAAATGGAGTATCAGTTCATAAATCTATCTATGCCTGTATAATTTTTGGAATTAAATCTATTGAATTAAATTGAGTATCAGTTCATAAATCTGTCTGTGTCTGTATAATTTTTGGAA